GGAGGAGTGGGAATGGCCGGTAGGCCCACCATGCAGGGCAAGTGTGGGGTTAGACCTCACCCCACTCCTGTGGTATGGGGATCCTAAGCCAAGAAATTCACATGAAACGTGTTCTAGAACCGGAAGAACCCGTAGTGTGCCCCCCAATCAAGGCAAATTTAGAACCCTTTGTAGATACCCTAGGGTCTATAACTAGAAATAACAGCCTTCCCTCTATCCCCCACAAAGAAAACCTAACAGAACAGATTGAGAGGAACTTTTAACATGCACAGATAGGACCATACGGTAAGAAAAAGGAGATGTGGAAAAGAACCAAATGCAATGGTGAAATATGTCACTGAAATAAAGTCACTCCTTGAATGGATTGAATAGTAAACTGCTAAAGTGTGAATTAGTGAACTGAAAGATATTACTGAGAGATTTAAAAAAAAAACAGGGAAGAAGTTAAAATGTGGAAGGTAAAATGAGAAAGACCTAATAGGAGAAAATACAAAAGTATGTAGAAAAAATAAAAAATAGAGGCAAGGCAAGATTCAAGAAGTTCATGGTTGAGAATTTTTGCAGAACCAGAAATAATCTTCTCAGTTTGAAGGAGTGAAACTAATTTCCAAATAAATAAAAAGAAATCATTGTTACATCTTGGAGGAAGTTCATACCATCAACAGTAACAATTTAATAAGTGATTGATGAGAAAATACAGTGTCTTATTAAAAAAATGAAATAGGGCACACTTCTCAGCGAGAGAAGTCAGAAAAGATGGAATATTATCTCCAAACTGCTAATGGAAAACAAAGGTCAGTTTAGAATTCTGTACCCAAGAAAGCTGTGATCCAAGATTAAAGGCAAAACCAAACATTTTTGTGGCCCCAAAACTTGGTGAGTTTATCCCTCAAAGACCATTGTTAAAAGAATTACTTTAAAAAAAAAAAAGTACTAAATATGTACTTCAACAGTAGGAAATCAAACCCAGAAGGAAGGAATGGACTTCAAAAGGCAAAGAAGTTAGTATGTTGGTTTATTTACATTAAATATAGATTATAAATTATAATAATGACTAATAGGAACTTAAAAATAAGGTGAAATTAAAATACTAGGCAATTACATGAAAGATGAAAGAAGGCATTCTAAGATCCTTTTATTTTCAAGGACACAATACTGATTAACTTATATATTAAAAGCTTAAACTGCTGAAAGAGGAGAAATAATCACTTCTAAACCAGTAGAGGGAGGAAAAAGGTATTAAGAAAGCAATCAACCTGACAGAAAGCAAGAACAAAGGAAAGAAAAGCATAGTAAGTAGAAAATACAAATAAATTTTATGTGTATGCATGTGTGAATGATGGCAAAAATAAATTCAGAATAGCAGTTTTTACAATAAACAGATTTAATGTGTATCTTAATAACGACAGAGATTAGATTTTATTTTTACTAGCCATCTACCAATAACGAAACACACTTAAATGAATAGCGTTTAGAAGTCCTACATTGCCTTGTGGATTTTATCACTGGTGAATATCAGGGTGTGAAGGTAGCATTGAAAATGGCTATTACTTGCCTAAGAGACTGGGAGCAGCATTAATTAAGGATCATGGATGGGGAAGTCCCACCTTGGAAGTGAAAATAAATTAACATTTATTGACTGTCCCTGAGTTTTAATTGGGGACTACCAGGAAAAGTAAGAAGAACTTGTACCACTTGTCATGTAAGGTCAGACATTGGAGGAGAACTTGAAGTGTATATAGTGGTGTGGAACCCCCTGCCCCGGCCCCACACCACTGCCAAAAAAAAAAAAAAAGGAGAATTCAAGAAGAAAAGGCAGGAGATGCCACGGATAAAGGAGATGGTCCACAGTGTAGCATTTGTGCTGGAGAAAGGCTGAGCAGAATGAGTTCAGAGAAGCAGCTTTAGGTCAAGGTGTAGGAGGCCAGATTAGTAGAGTACTGGGCTTACTGGTAAGAGATTCAGGAAGGAAAATGGAAGTAAGAAACTGAGGAAGCAAGAAAGGAGTTCTCTCAGGGAGTTCAGCATCTAAGAAAGAGAGAATGGATGGTAAACAGAAATGCAGGCGTAGGGAAGCTATCTTGGAATAGACAGTAACCATTTTTAAGAATAAAACCTTAATCTTCCAGAGCCCTTGGGTTTCCTGGGTAACCATGTTTTCTGCGTGACCTAATGCTGCTTTTTAAAATACCAAAGCTAAAGGAAAAAAAAAAACAAAACACCAAAGCTAATTTTGACGATTTTTATTTTCGATACCCAAAGCCACCAGTAATAGCAGTATCAGGTGGTCTCTTGCCTTTAACTATGGACAGTACTCCTATGTGATTCAAATAAAACAAGGTAGGCATTGTTTTGATTTTAACTTTTTTTATTGAAGTATAGTTGATTTACAATATTGTGTTAGTTTCAGGTGTGTAGCAAAATGATTCAGTTAAATATATTTTCCAGATTCTTTTTCATTATAGGTTATTGCAAGATACTGAATATGAGTCCCTGTGCTCTACAGTAGGACCTTGTTGTTTATCTATTTTCTATATATAGTGTGTCTCTGTTAATCCCAAACTCCTAATTTATCCCTTCCCCTCCTTTCCCCTTTGGCAACCATAAGTTTGTTTTCTCTACCTGTGAATCTATTTCTGTTTTGTAGATTTCATTTGTATCATTTTTTTAGGTTTCACATATAAGCAATATCATATAATAATTTATCTTTCTCTGACTGCCTTACTTCACTTAATAAGATAATCTTTAGGTCCATCCATGTTGCTGCAAATGGTACTATTTCATTCTTTTTTAATGGCTGAGTAATATTCTATTATAGATATATTCCATGTCATCTTTATCCATTCATTTGATGATGGACTGTTAGGTTGCTTCCATGTCTTGGCTATTGTAAACACTGCTGCTACAAATACTGGGGTTCATGTATCTTTTCAAAGTAGAGTTTTCATCCTTTCCCAGGAGTAGAAATTGCTGGATCATATGGTACCTCTATTTTTAGTTTTTCAAAGAACTGCCATACTGTTTTCCTGCGTGTCTGGACCAATTTACATTCCTATCAACAGTGTACAAGGGTTTCCTTTTGTCCA